ATTTATTATTTAAAAACACACAAACCTGCTGTGATTCTATTTGTATTTGTTATGAAGCTCTTCGCTGAGGTCTTGTTTTGGAAAAATGATTCTGACCACGTCGATTCAATTTTATGTGCTGCGCTGAAAAAGCCTCCACAGAGCGAGGCGTATTTGTTACATGTGCAGACCCGCAGCCTAAACACACACATTATAGTATCTTTTTCTCGTCTGCGGTTTAAAACGGAGGAGTGTTCGCTACGTCAGAGGGCGGTGCACGAGGAAAGCTCGTGTGTGTGGTTATTTGTGCCCGTCTGCACATTACACGCATTTATAGTCCGACCCTCCCAGAAACACTCAGCAGTTTTGTCTAGAGCAGAAAAGCAGATGCTGTGAAACTGCTCTGCAGCTACGAAAACAATGAAATAAAACGCTAACGTGGGAGGGGCGGCAGGTGCTAAACAAACTGCTCCGATGCACGTTCATTAAAAAACAAAACAAATATTATTGTCCTTCTTTTAACTTGAACCGGATAACGTAAGCGATCTCGTTAGGCTCATCAGGACCTCCAAAGAGCTCATTTATAAAGCGCTTAAACAACATTTAAAGCTCGCACATACCCTGATGTTTGTTGTTGTTCTTCATAAAGGATACAGTCCCGACCAACTGGAACTCAGAGTAGTTGTCACACTTCCAACTGCTGAACCAATGGCAGCGTGAGTCCTTCATGTAGGTAAACATCCCTAAAAAAATGAAAATACGACATTTAGATTCAACACATCTCTTTTATTTAATTCGATACATTTGATTGGTAGAAAAAAGGATACAGGAAGTGATGGAGGCAAAAAAAAGAGGAAAGGTCATTTTTACGACAAACAGAGGGTCTGAAGAAGAAAAGAGTTGTTACTTTTCCCGGAAACAGTGAGTCCCTGTTAAATTAAAAAGTGTCCACATAAAGTTTTCAACTCAGGACCTTCAATCAACTGTCCAAACTTGGGGAAAAAAGGGATTTAGGTTGCGTTGAATTAGAAAGTAGCAGTCAAACTGCACTGAAATCAAAGGCACTCTGAACACAAGCGGAGAAACCAAACAGCGCGGTTTGGGAAAGTATCGACTGGACTGTCCTGCAAGTTGAAATGCGATGCTGAACGAGTGCCTGGTTCATCACTGAGATCACTGAGCTATATCAGAGTTAGAGGTTGGTTCGCATCTACCCCTCATGTGGAATTTTTAAATGCACATTTGGAATTTGTGAGAAGGGGGATCAGAGGGTGTGCACCACCTCCAAGGGAATTGTGGTTCGCAAAGGGTGAGCGCCTCTGCAGTTCAGCAAGGAAAGGACACTGTCCCCAACCTCCATTCAATGTTGTAGAGGTGTGTCAAGGGGGGGCACAAGAGACGTTTTTAATGAACTCACCTCCAGTTTCCTCTTAGATATTCCACAATCAGCTGTAAGCTGTATTATTGCAAAGTGTGCATGAGGTCAAAAGTCGCCAATGCTCTGCTGACTTGTCCCTGAAGCTGTCCAAACCTCCTCCAGCACTAACATCAGAATACAAAATGTGTACTGGGAGCTTTGTGGCTCTGTGTGGTCGAGCAGCTGCTGCAGGTGTAATGTGTAGGTGTGCACATAGCACACGCTTCTTTAGCCTCCAAAAGCTTTGCTGTTTCACTGCTGATCTGCTGGATGTCAGTCACATCACCTCTTTTCTGATCATAGTTTCTCTGCAACTGCAGCACCCTGCTGACGTCCTAAGCATATTAAATATTTAATTAAAATAAATAAATCATTAAAACACACAAGTTGTTGAGACTCGAGCGCTGCTGAAACTCTTCCAGCTGTGACTGAAAGAAACAGCAGCAGTCTGTTCAGAGTGGAGACTCACATCTGGACCACTCACATCTCTGAACACACAAAATGGAAAAGACCTCACGTATAAAAGAGCCTGTGTGTGTGTGTGTGTGTGTGTGTGTGTGTGTGCGTGTACACCTGTCTGTGTGCAGCTGTGTGTGTGTGTGTGCAGAGGTGGGGATTTCCCGGTGCTGCTAATGAGGGGAACACAGCTTTCATTGAGTGTGTTGCTTTGGGCCGACGTCCCTCTGGCACCGACAAACACAGACGACCGCGGAAAGATGGAGCGACGATGGAAAGAACAACTTGACCAGAGCGGAGACGCAGAGAGCAGAAAACGCAGATGCACAGGCAGACGCTCGCTTGGTTTCCACTCGAGTATATTTTATGCAAATTCCAACATACTGAACGACAAAGTCTGAACGGACGCGGCCGAAACTTGGAGAAAATGCTATATCAATATTATAAAAAGGGGTTTTTTGCCCAGACGTGACGTTTTGCAGTCAGGGGAAATGTTGGAGCGGCAGTGATGGAAACACACTTGTTGAATTGAAAAATGAAGGAAGAAAGGCTTGAGAAATTTTTTTCCTCACAATTCACAGAAATCCAGTTTGGACTGAGATCTAAATGATTTTTGTAAACCACCAACTCGCCACCATTTGTGAAATGTGCAACTCAGCACAGCGCAGCTGGAAGGCGGTGAATAAAATAACTGTTTGTGATAAATGCGTTCAATCGAGACTTCACATTAAAGGATTTTTTACTGAGAGCAAAAGCAACAATGAAAGTATGGCGCTACGAAGCACTGTGTATGTATTTAAAGGCTGATATAACCAGAGACGGGAAGTAACGTTACTGTAATC